ATCTTCACGGGTGTCACGCTGAAGTATCATTGAACACTGTATCATGGAGGGGGCACGGGTAGCCCAGTCGTCTAAGGCGCCGAGATTCGCTGTGCAGAGTTGCGTCCCTTAGGCACGCCAGAAACCTATGATTGTGGGTTCGAATCCCGGTTCACCCCGATTATGTTTCTAGGTTTGTCAGCACCATACACGTGCTCGTGGGTTTCACCGAAGTGGTAAACGTCTGAGATCTGCATCACTTCGGGCTTTCCTCCCACATTAAGCTGACACGCCGTGATATGACTTGATTACTGTTAAAAGCGGCGTTAACTCAACTCACTCACTCACTCACTGTATCATGGTCTTTGAATTGGGTGGTAAACACATTTGTACACTCCTAATTTCTACAATGTACATGCTCGTGTTTATATGTTCAACATTATCATTAACATAATCTGATTTATGACCAATCGCCCCAGATGCATATATACATCACCAATAGCTTGTCAATTGCACGTAACCAACAGGCATTGCCTCAGTGCATACATCACCAATAGCTTGTTAATTGCACATAGCCCACAGGCATCGGCCATACCGACAGCTGACACAAACAGAAGTATTACATGTAATTGACACGAGCTTGGCATGTCATAACGTCATACTATATTTACGACACTTCGAATGTCAATTTATTCCTATGTAGAGAACGAACTACAAAGAACACGATAGAAATGGATTAACGTATGTTTGCAGAAAGTCAAAGGATTAGTACCTTTGATGGCTGATAAATGAACACCATATTCTTTTGTAGACATCCTTTGAACGTCTTTGAGTAGTCACGGAAATAGACATTAAAACTACTCCCGTGTGCGTTATTGCTTTAAGCACGCAATAGTCAACACGAGGCTCGTGGTCAACTCTCTGATTGACCTTAGCCCATCTGTTGACCTGGGACCGCTCTGATATTCCCAAGGGCCGCGGGACCAATCACTCCAGATTAACTAATATCCTTCCGCTGAAGTTTAATGTCAGTGGTCATATATAGTTCATACTGTCCAAATTGAAATTTTAACGTCCTTTCAAACGCGTGATCTTATGTACAGTACTATAGTACCGTCGAAACACACGACTAAAACAAAAGTGCATTTCAAAAGTCAAATTATGCCAACTGCTTCTTCAAAGACTTGAACATTTAATGAAAACTGTTTCCTTTTAATATCTAAATATAGCACGTCAGCGCCAGTGAATAACCATCCTCGATTATCCGTCGAAACATTCCATTGGACGTAAAAGGCAAAATCGCGGTAAAAATCATGTGAATGGATAACTGAAAATTAGTGACGACAGCGGGTGTTCGCGGAAAGGACAAGCAAATAATGGAGACAGTTATCCTGTAATAAGCATAAATAATATTCACATTCAATTTCAAATATCAATATCTTTGTAATCAGAGTGTATTTCAACAAAGTATCTTCTTGTAAATCAGTGGTTCTTAAGAACAATGATGAAATAATATCACTGAAAGCATCATTAACTGATAGTGTTGAACATGATGAATTACATTATATATAGTCGAAATCATTTTCATAATGAAATGAAATACTTCACATGGGCTATAAGAGAAATATCATATTTTATCCCCATTGCAATAAATACCATTGAGACATGAAAGCTACGAGAACGAACGTAGCATGTATTGACGAAAAGAAATGTAAAGCCATTAATCTGGATGAAGTATACAGATTTCGGTGTCTATTTCTTGTGGCCATTAATAATGTATTGCGCTGAAAACATGAACTATCCCACAATTAGATATTTGATACAATTAGATATTTGATAACAATGTTGCCTCGTATTATTCTCAGATATTAAATATTAAAATAACTTCACCGTTGCAGCCAAATAAACCAAAACAGACCACAACGCTCATAATTAAAATATTGCTGATGTGAAATGCGTAACTTTAATTCTAGTTTGGAGACACAGGGTAAGAGTGAGTGAGTTGATTATAAATAAAGTGCTTTCAACACTACTTCAGTTAAGTCACGTCGTATCAAACTGACGTGGAAGGAAAGCCCGAAGCAGGTTTAAACTTAGTCTGTCATACAGACCCTGAAACAAATATATCCAATACAGCCCTTGCAAGTCTATAATGTTTGGCAAGTCTAGATTTCTGCAGTATCAGGAAAATGAAGAGGATCCTGGATCCTTTTTATTATATTTTTTATAGATAATTTAACAACTATTTTTTGGTAAGATATGTTCATTTCAGAGACTTGATGTCAGTCTAGTTTAAACGATAACCACTTTGGTGAGCTCCACGAGCATGGGTATGGTGGTGAAAAACCAAGAATCCTTATAAGAGGGAATCCAAGATTCGAACTCAATATCATAAGATTCTGCCACGCCTAAGGGAGGCAACTGCGCAGCGAATGTCAGCGCCCTAGCTGACAGGCTGATCCGTGGCCACAAGTTACGATCGTGGCCAGGGAACAAGTTGTCAGCTTATGTGTTATTTATCTGTTTACCTTCTGACATACACAAGCTATTGGCACAAACAAAGAGTAACTGTTCCCACTTAGTCCAGTTATATGATATTTCATGAGTTTGTGCGACCGAAAATCCAGGGTGAGTTTGATAACACGTGTACACCGAGGTGTAACCTGAGAGTCCCAGTGTATGTGTACATCATAACAGTTGGTGTAAGGTTACACTGACGGTGTCATTGCCCACAGCGCTTGAGAATAGAGCGGAGGGCCCTATGTTTGTCCTTTGCCATCATAAATGGATCCGTTTTCATGGCTTGTGACATTCATTCGAGTGTGATCGATTTTCTGGCCAGTTTAGTTTGTTTTTCTTCAATCTAAAGATGAAACTCAAGTTACCTTATAAAATGTATTAAACGTCATAAAATCCCTTAATCATTTCAATCAAAGCTTCTGGGGTAAAGATAATTTTCTGAAGATATTATTTGAATGCCACTTTCGAAACACGGTATTGACATATTCAAGAAATGGCTGTATCCATATACATATTCCATATAATAATGTGCCCCATTGGAATTTAACATAAATATGAATTATATTTTATTTTTGGGTGGACCTTATTTGAATTTTTTTTTAAATATGAATTAGATTTGCTGGGTTTAAAAAAAATTCTTTTGTTTGTTTGATAGTTTCCTAGCATCAAATAGTCTGAAAGTATAAAGTAAAATGAAGGTGCTGTGCTAGGACATATTACTATTCTCCGATGATGATTACCTATTGGCAATTTATTATTCTACATGACGATGCATATTTTCAAATTGTCGAACAGGTGTTGTTTTTCATATTGACTTTTTATTGATATGTATTAGAGTCTTGTTTGTTCAGGTAGTGTTGTTCTGGAAATCCTTTTCCAAACATTTAGTCGGGAATGAATCATCTGATAAGATAATCAAATAAAGTCCAACCAAAATTGCCTCGGATATAACGAAATATCGCTTAAAGCGAAGTGCAATTAAAAGAGTAGCAGTTGTTGAGGTCAATGCCTTGGTAAAGAAAGAAGTACGCATTTACGAATCTGATTTTGGCTCTCCCGTTTTATTCGACATATCCGGAGTAAAGTGTTTAAATTGTACCTATACTGCCGTCTTGTTCGAGGAGGTTCAACTGTACACTTTATATTATATTTCCGTGTGTCGTAGCAGATGTGTGACAGTTATTACTGGATGTGAAGTACGGTTATCCGGATATAACGAATTCTAAGGCATAGTATAGAGACATTTAGAACCATGTTTACTCGAACTTCATTTACTCGACGTATCGTTTACAACAATATAACTTTATGATGCCCATCTAATCTTTACCTTGTCCGGAATATAACATTGGTACTTACGGCGAATTACGGATAACTCGAATAACCTTCAATGGTTCCCAGGGATTCGAGTTGAAATTCATTGACTTTTGCGTTGGTTTGTGCAATAACATCAGTTACAACCTTTCGTGTAAAACTTCTTTATAACGCTACTTCTCTATGCGAATTCGTGACAGACAATGCTGCTGGTATTAATCAAAGTTAAACAATGACAAGTATGAGCACAAAACTTAGTGCTGACCAACTGTGTAATAATGGTTCAACAACAGGTCCAATGATTCCCCGCGTGAGCTCAGATAACGCTTGAAATGAAAATACAAAATAAATCGTCCGAGGCGAAAAAGAGTGTCGAAAGAACGTTTTCATTAATTTCGGGATTTCCTTTACACACCGTGAAAGGGTGAGTAAATATGTGCTTTTTCATGTCGAGGAAATGAATCGGTGCGACAGTGCAGTAATGGAAATACGTGCATGTCGCCGACGTTTGCTCACAGGGTGATGTGGTGGAGAGCGCCGTCATGCGCGTGGCAGCTGCCAGGGATATTAATGCGACATTCATAGTGTCGCCTTAATATATCGATCTTTTATTTATCAAGCTAACACCTTCAACATGGGTTTGTAATGCGGGAAAAATACCACCACTTTTCAGCCCGTGTCACTATTCTAACTCATGGTTAAATATAGATGTTTAATACCCTGTCTATCAAACTGGTGCTCGTTGGGAGCCATTATGTTCTTTCAATGTAAGTTTTCGTCAGCACACACTGAGAAATTTATCAATTAATTAACACCTCCACAGACAAGAAGGGGATAGTGGCACTTAGGAAAAGTAAACAGTGAGTTATATCTGTCAAATATGGCGTCTCGGAGTGCGTGTATTTTTTGGTCTGGGGTGGGAGGGCGGCGGGATGTTAGTTCTTTGTTCGACGCACGTTCATCGGGCATGTCGTGAAACTCGTATTTGGTTTGAACGTCTCGCATAATAGTTCGCTGTGACTGTGATAGCACAGTTACCCCTTTAAACGGCGGGTGCTGAAGAGCCACCCGGGTGAGCACCCCTCTCCCCCTCCCCCCAGGGTTAGCTGAGGACGCGGTCATAACTCGCTCAATCACAGTTCTCTCCGCAGTTCTGACTCATGTATTGAGTTGCCTCGCTAGCGCCATTCGCCATAACATAGTCCATGGCATACCTGTTTGGATATTGGTTTAGCATGACATATCGTCTTTTATCCTATGAAAACTCCTCCAATCATGTCACAAAAGGGGAGGAGTTGTGACGTCAGAGGGGCTGTTGCAGCACACGGTGAAGTAACGTTAGCCGAAGAGGCTGAGGGATGTCGACTAACTAAACGTCTGGTAGGGGGCGCTCGCTGTCATAAACCGCCGTGTAGCGCTCGCTCTGCTAGCTTTCCCGTCAGTACGAGACTACGCGAGCGAGAGAGAGGCACAGCGCTACATTATGTAGTGCGAGGCGATGGGAAAGGTTGGACGTTGTTGTGTTGTCATTTGTCCACGGAGGATGTGATTCTGGTTTAGAAACATGAAGTGTGTACAACGGTGGACGTTCCACGCCAACCTTGGTTTGTGTTTGGTGGTGTTTATTGCACTCAGCCATATAGACTTTTGTGTCGCCTGTCCAAAGGATTGTTTTTGTCCTCAGCATAGTAATAATGTGTATTGTTCAAGGAAACATTTACCGGCTATTCCCATGGGGATCCCGTTTAACACAGTGGAGCTCAACCTAAACGAGAATGAATTTCAGAACCAAGTTCTCTCACGAAGGAATTTTACAAATTTGAATAATTTAGAAAATTTGTACTTGAGTAATTGCGGGATCAAAACGATCACTTTGGATACATTCAAAGAACTGAAAAAGCTCAAGTGGTTGGACATTAGCAAGAATAATATTGAGTTCATTGCAGACTTCACATTCCGTGGCCTAGATCTGGAACATTTATTTATGAACGATAACCCCGGGATCCAGCTGTCTAACAAGGCGTTTGATGGACTGTCATCTCGAGGTTTGTATATGCACAGGTGTGACTTGGTCAATCTATCGAAAGAGGTGCTCCGGCCTTTAGATGGGACACTTCTAGCGCTATGGTTGGACGAAAACAAATTCGAGCAGTTTCCGTTTACGTGGCTGCAAAAATTTAATCTGAGTCATCTTCGACTCGGAAACAACCCGTTCCATTGTAACTGTGAAATAACGTGGCTATACAAATATTACACTGGAAATCCGTCAGTATTTTCAGGCGGGGTTGTGCCATCATGTAGTTCGCCAGTGCTCAACAGAGGGAAAATGTTCACACAGCTCAAAGCTGAGGACTTTAGATGTGAGTTGCCGACGTTCAAAACCGTGGAGGCTGTGTTTGACGTGGACCTTGCTAAACTTTCCTGCACTGCTAGCGGCGACCCCACCCCATCCGTGTTCTGGGTGCGTCCAGACGGTACCACGGAGACATTCTACCCTCCCACGGAGGACGACGTCAGGGACAACGACGGCATCATGTACGTGACAGATCTTCACCTAAAGGACAACTCTATATTCAAATGCGTTGCTAGCAACCCAGCAGGCAATGTAACCTTCACCCTCAACGTTGTCTGGCCCCCCGAGAAAACCACCTCCACAGGGGTAGCCCCCCAGAACCCCTCCCCAGCCACCGTGCCCCCGATCAGTGACTCCAGGCCTGGGGAGGATTCTTATGGATGGACGGCTAATAAAGCTGAAAAGAAATTAGGAGTTATGGCTGACCATAACTCCGTGGAAGGATACTTCACAATAGTTGATATTGTTGGAGCAGTTGTAGGAACATTCCTCTTAACACTGTTGGTGTGTGTTGTAGTGTTCCATTTTTATTACAAAAGAAGAGAACGTTTAAAGTACGAGGAAACACAAGTGAGAAACGACAAAAAACGCAGCCCGAACAATTTATATAACTATATGGCTGAACCCGACGAGAACTGTTTGAAAATGATAAACCATTCAAACGATACAAGTATTCCAAGCTGAGGACGGGCTGTGATGGAGTTTTTAGTTGACACACGCTACAGTCCGGTCGAGCGGACCGGGAAATTTCGGAAACAATGGCCAGAGAAGTGGTCAGTTCGAAACAGATCCTTTCAAGCCCGGAGAAGATTAGAGGGCAGGGGAATAACAACTGCTTGAGGTGGATTTGCAAAGGAGGGCAACTATTCTCGCAGGAGAAAGAATGATTTATTTTTCTACAAAGGAAATCGTTTCGCAGAGATTATTAATGTTAAAGTTTTGGCTTAATCGAGCAAGTAAAATAGCCCTGGATCGGCAGAAGCCTAATGTGAAGAGTGTGATGTTGGTGTTGATGTCGGTGTTGATGTTTGTGGACAGTACAGCCTCTACCTATCGTGTCTTCACACCCGGACTAAAACACTGTTGACGTGCGTTTAAGTGCTTTCTCCTTCCCCCATGTTCCGACAGGGAGTTGCTGTACGTCTCTACCTATGTCTTATGTTGGAAGAATTCTCAGAATTATTGAACAAATATAACACGTGGATTGCTTTTCATTCTGAAGTGCTGGGAAAATGGTCTTTGTGAAAAGTATACGGCTTGAATATGTGATATTGTGTGTTCTGGCGCTCCGGTAGTTTGTGTTGAGTGGACGCAAGGAAGTGGTGTGTGTGGTGTTCATCCAGAGTCACCCCAGCGTCTCGTGAGGGCGGGGTCGTCCCCTCCCTTGTGGACGTTTTGTACGTGACAACATCATCAGTGACTTCATTCTACGTGACCATGACATGTGAGGACATTACGGTGACGTAACGTTACAGAGTGCTAACGATGGAGGCCTTCAATACGGCTCGCTATGTAAATATTTAGGTAAATGTTGGTCTCGGTTTGTCAATGGCTGCTTCTCTATTAAGTCTTTGCATAGATGATGGCTTGCCAGGAGTAAACAGAAAACAAACAATTAATAATTATTGATTTTCAAAAATAAATAATTATTGATTTTCAATCAGTTATCAGTGCATTAATAGGAGATTGTGTTGGCTGACAAAATTATTGGTAATGATCGCTTAAAAATTATTTCTATGAGAATATCTTAAGGAAAGATTGTAATTCTGTTATATCTATACCAAATTTATGTATGTGATATAAGATAATTGTTCAGCATCTTTACATTTCAAATGTTAATTTCGGAAATATTCATATGTTTGTTTAAACTTGAAATGATATTGTTACAAAATATTACATGTACCTTTTTTCGATAATTTGAAAACGACCAGTCTCCAGTGTTTGCTTTTGAATATTTCTTGTTTTTTACATTCGCGTTCATTTAAAGAATATATTAAACAAACAGAAAGGAATGTTTGTAAAAAATGTTTTTCGAAAGTTCAGTATCTTCATTACTGTCAAGTTCATTAAAGTCAATCTCGGCTAACCAGCAATCATCGTACATCAATAGAAACGCCACAAGTTTATTATCAGTGTCTACTCCAGGTGAAAAAAAATAATCAAACACCGAGACTGATTTCGTAGGCAAATACTTCAAGTTGCGATTAAATGAGAATGTTTTCACAGATGGTCTTGGCAGGCCATTCCCCAATCTAAACGCTGTCTCCTCCTTTATTGAAAGCTTTACCAGGGTGCTTTCCCCATTCTAGATCCATCAACACATTTCAACTCACAAATTCTTGGAAATTCAATTTGCTTTTGTGCCATAAAAATAGACGCTCTATTTAGACTGCAAATCATCAAAGTGGTAATCGTTTGAAATGTTTGAACTAGCATGAGATCGATGAGTCTTTTCTAGTAGCAATGTACGTGTTTTGTAAGACGAGGATTCCGGGTTAGCTAGTGGTTTACAGGCTGGGAAACCGATAGAAATAGATACAAATAATGTGTCGTTCGTTGCCATGGAAACAGATTTCATTATATTGGACCGTGCTTAGAAACCATTCTCCTGCAGGAACTGTCATAATGGTAAAAGGACTATTGATTTTGACGATATGAAATAAGGACAGTATATTAAAAGACCCTTGACAACAGTAGGATAGCAACATGTTTTGATTACCAGGAAACTGTTGTGCATTGTTTACGTTAACAGAAGAAGTAAATTTCCTACTATGACTAATAGTTAAAAAAATATAAGTTGATTTTTTAAAACCGTCCATTGTTCAAATTGTGAGTCACAATACTTGTGATGTCAGTACGTAAACATGCCATTTCCTTACAAACCAAACAATTTAGTTACGGCTGAAATGCTCATTTTCTATATGAAATCAGTTTCACAGAATTCTTTATGTCAAACAATTGACTACAAGTTTGCATTTTGTATAATTACAAAACTTGTATTTGTGACACTAACTCACGTTTCTATAGTAACCTTTATCACCCTGTATTGTGAAGACTTGAAGCTATGTAAACATTTCTTAAAAAGGTAACCCTGCTATAGATAAGCGGTATACTAGGGGTTCCTTCCCTTGGGGTATGCTTTCTGAACACGGACCACTGTGTTTATATTATGTCCTCATGATCATTGAATCAATGTTATATATATTTGTCATTGTACATATTCGTCATAATTATTACTTGTAAATACAAATTTTTATTAAGATAAACATGTGTTCAAACTTTTAATCGTCGTTTCTTAAATCACTTTAGGCAAGACATAATGTGTTGGAAGTGGATTTGAACGAATTTGTAATTGTTCATCTGATATTTTAAGATGCACACGCTCCAGATATCAATCAAAACATCAATACTACATTGGTAAAAAAACGCTAAATCTTTATTGACAAATAAACTAACAAAATGGTAAAGTACATATTGTAAGTTCTGTTAATATACACAAACATGTGTGGTGTGATGAGATAATATCTATTTTAACACATTGTATACATTTACTCGATGTGTGTTCGCTTCTCGGTTCAGATCGATCCCGGTTCAGATCGATCCCGGTTTAGATCGATCCCGGTTCAGATCGATCCCGGTTCAGATCGATCCTCTACTGAGTGTTACATCTTCGTGAATCAATTCATAGAGAATCATTTCATAAGTGCATGTGTGATGCATGAGAAACTATACGGATCTGATGAGTATAAACCGAGTTGACCTCTGATTCACACTATAACAAGACGCAATTGGTGTAATTACACATGAATATCCAATGACCCTGTGTTAAGTGTGTGTCGGGCCAATTACCCAATACGGTGGAGAAGCCTTGTTCAATGCAGTGCTGCGTCAGTTGGGCGAGCACATGAACTTTCAACCTGGTGTCGTATGAAAACTTTATTACTCTTTGCTTCGCACTCTGATAGTCATTAACGACCCTCCACCACACGCTATCATGTCTGGTATGATGTATATATTATTCAATTGAAACCATTTACCCTGAAAGAGTATTATGTTTGAGAACAAAATTAAAACAACTTAAAATAGTTGACACTGTAGTTGCAAAAAAACAATCCCTTTATTTACAGAATTTGATCTTTTCCAGAATGGCGTTATTTTCAACACTTCACCACAGCTATGCTATGTAAACAAATACTGAAAATGCACCAGGCATCATTAACGATGCGGATGTTCCTAGTTCTGTTATTTTCTCCATTGCCTCGAGGGATGTTTTAATTACCACGACAGGGAATGTTTAATCCTCAGATCCATATTGTGCAAAGCCCCAAGCTGTGGCAGGTTGCTTCTTGTGTCTGAAGGCCTGGCTTTATCGTATGAACGTTTGAACTTTGTAGATCCAGGCTCACCACCTTCATCATGGCCAGCATCAGAATCACACGAGATTCACATCCGGCCTCTGTGGTTGTCTCTTTACCGTCATCATTTTCCTCATCCCATTCAAGTCCAGTAACAACTGAGAAACTCCTGCTCTAATTTTCTGTAGTAATGACAGCTGTCTCTCTGGCGTCAATCTCAGCGACGTCATTAATCCAAAGCTGACACCAAACACACAGAGCCCCACCGGGCCATGCTTTTGTTTGACATTTTTCAGTTTGGGAGGTTCCTCTGTTGTACATGTTGTACCTCGTTATCAAACCGCTGTGGTAGTCTTATGGCAATGTGGTGTAATAAACTGACCTTATCACAGCACTACCCCATGCGCGTTTCACCACATCTTCAGGCGATGCCTGATTACTTCTCTGCGTTGGCTGGAGAACCACCTTACATTCCTACCACCTGTCAAGACTAGTGAGTCAATTATATCCACCATTCAGCATGCAATAATTTCAGATGCTTATCTGTTGCCTCCACAAGATGATTGTTCTATTTGAGTCTTATGCCTTCTATTGTCATGCGTCAGAAATAATTGACCCTTGCCACCCACACACGGGATGAGGATGGGATACTCTTTCACTTTATCACAAATCTGAAACTTTATTACGGGGATAATTTTACTCTAATCGTCTCTAATAACCTGTTACTGACCAGCTGAAGTCAACTGGTCCGTTCATCCGCTGAGGGCTTATCGTATTCTTTTGATCATGTAATGAGATACATTTTCTATTTTTGCTCCATTCTTAGTAATTCCCCCTTAATATGCCTGGTTTTATTCAGTTCGCAGTCAGGGGTCTGTAAATCCTTCAGAATGATTATATTACCATATAAACAAGTAGAACCTGTTCCGTTGGGGTGGTTGTGAATGTATACTTTTTTTTATTGTGAAGTCATAATACTTGTTTGTATTTATACAAACACTAATATGTTAATATCAATATTTGTAAAGGATCGCACGGATATTAAATCGAATATGCTTTAACGTTTCACTATTAATCATGATGTTAAATCTGATAATAACAGAGCTAACATTGAAATCCCTTTATTTAAACTTATAGACAATAGAGCAATGATGTTGCCACCTGTGTGGTATTCATTTTTCTGATAGTCTTGGATATTATGTTACAACATGTCCATCTGTGCAATATGCACTTGTTCTAGGGTTCCATCAATGCCTGTATATTTCGCCGCATCGCGCCATGTTCTACGCTGTTAAATGATTCATGAAAAGGGAACATGATACATCAGATACAGGAATTCCCTGCATGGGGAGGACACCAAGATATTTGATTATTGAAGCAAAAGCCAACATAGTGTTTCCCTGGGGAGCAACAGAATCTATGACGAACTTATGATTAAATAATATTTGGATATGTGTGTCATGTCAGGCAACCAGACTGGTTTACCTTGTGGTTGATATGTTTAAGCAGTGGAGTGAAGGTCGAAGAAAATAAATGTAGACAATGCAATTTTAATGCAACACTAGTTTAAGATAATTAAAGCTTAATTTAATACGCTATCGTAACCACATATAACTAGTCTGGCTTTATTACGAGTTTGATAGAAAGGCTCATACGAGATGTGTACGTGCATGATGATGATTATGATTATTATTATGATTATTATCATCATCATCATCATTATCATTATTATTATTATTACTGACTCTACAATGCATTTGATAAACTAGATATCATGATATGTCATTTTTTATTATTAAAACCTTTCATAACCTCAAATTTTCACAATCAATAACAATCGCTGAGGTCATCAGAGGTCACATATATTAAAATTTTGATACAACTGTCCCTATCAGTATTCTGTACAAAAGGCATCCTCATGTCAGATATAAATTTGTCACATGTTTATATGACCTGAAAACGGTTCACTGTCAATCCCACCAGACCACACTCACGTCATCCATAGGCATATTACAGGGATCATGGCTTCTTCCAAATTGTTTTTCATGCCGGTTTGCATTATTACTTGAACATTGTGGAATCAGGAGAGAGGGGGCTATTAACATTAATACGGCTCTAATGAGTCGCTGCAAGGCGGACTCGTTTGTAATTATCACTCGCATTTCTGTGAAACACGATCAATGCCCTTCTGCATCTCACGCTCTGAAAATTCAAAATGGCGGAACAATGGTCTGTCGTCTGCATTGTTGCAAAGGCTCATGGGATCATCTGTATGTGATAGGGTTTTCACTGCAAACAGCACCACCTGTTATGGTTGTGATTAAGTACTGGGATAGATATTACTCTCATAGTCATGTGACATTTGTCATAGAGCATGTCCTCTAGTGTTGTGGGATGGCAGTAATGAATGCTGGTGTCTATGTACTCTGAACTTTCAGCATCAGTATTGTTGCAGTACATTACCGTAATACCATATCAAGGTCTCCTGCGGATTTATACCTCATTATGTATATGTATTTCATGCACATAACGGGTAGAACGTCCTGGAAACAAAAACAAATAAATTCATATGGAATTGTATAATTTGTGTTATAGCTTAAGAGAACGGTTATGTCAAATTCTTATTTTTTAAAATGAAACTGGCACAATGTATTAATTGTATTAGGGCATCAGCTGTCATACATGTATGTATAACATATACCATGTACATATACTAATTTCAAACCGTATAGCTGTAATAATTATT